AACGAATCCTGCATGCACATCCCTTCCAATTCTGTCCTTCTTCGCACCGCTCCGTCCAATTCCGTTATTGTTGCTGCACCTGAAACGCCCTTCCCTACCACGCGTCTCTTGCACACCCAGCTTCATACAGCTGTGCTTTTGGGTCACCAGCAAACTGAGAGACACTCTGCCTTTCCTCCTCGTCGATCTGTTTCTGCCGCCGCCCATGCGTTTCGGCATAGCTGCCCGCCCATCGCCATGGCGGAGCCTGATAGGGTTGGCAGCTGTAGTCAGGCCCCCGTTGAGCCCGCCCTTGCCTCTAGGTCCCGCGATCTGACGGGTTTAGATTTCCTGAGGCGAGTCCACGCAGTACCTGCCTCTAGGAATCATGCTGAGACATCTGTCCCATTGGCAGCATCACTACCTAGTCTAGCAGCACCAGTCCCAGCAGCGCCAGTTCCAGCAGCAACATTTCCTGCCGCGCCGATAGCAGCAGCGCCAGTTCCAGCAGCAACATTTCCTGCCGCGCCGATAGCAGCAGCGCCAGTTCCAGCAGCAACATTTCCTGCCGCGCCGATAGCAACAGCACCAGTTCCAGCAGCAAGTGTGACATCGTTGGCGCATGGTGCAACCCGCATGGGTCCCATCACGTCCAAGAAGCTGCTCGGTGCCCCGGTACCGCCAAGTCACTCTCAGCTTTGGCCGTACGTGGGTAGCACCACCTCCCACGCCGACCGTGACGCTGCCTGCCGAATCTGGGCCCACTTCCCCTGCCGCATCTTCAGACTCAATGCCCATCGTCGACGAAGCAGAGGATAAATATCAAGATGCGCTTTTCCGGTTCAAGAAGGAGTGGTCCTCGGACTTCCCATGGCTTGTGCTGTGTCAGACTAAGGCCGGGTTCCCCTCTGTGAGGTGCAGTGTGTGCATGCATCATGCAGGTCCCGGAACTAACTACGGTCGCGGGGGTGAAGGAGCGGTTGATGTCCAGACACAAGCGTTCCGGAATCACCAGCGCACCAAGAAACACAAGCGAGCAGTGCGGAATCAGGCCATCGCGGAGAAGCTGACAAAGGGGCAACAACGAATCGAGGATTGTCCGTCGGCGTACGACATCATGAAGGAACGGGTAATCGCACTCCTGGAGACGCTCATGTTCATTTGCCAGTCAGATGCGCCGATTGAGATGTGGGTCGAGCTGTGCAAGTATCTTTCACGAAGGCGCACGCCGGGCTTCCCGAAGAAGGGATATGGTTCTTATTTCACAACGTGAGTACTGCTGTCAGTAACCCCATTGTCCATTCTATGCAAGCGTACTGATTTCGTTACTAGTATAGCTTCTAGGAGCTCAGCAGTCGCTTGTACACTTGTAGGAGCTCACCTCTCCCTTCTCTCGTCTAATTCATTGCAGCTATGGCTTCCAGGAGCTCACCACGTCCACAGCGACATACTTGCGTGCAAGGCAGCACGAGTACTTGCATTCGAGTCCGTTCATCGGACTCAGCTGTGATGAGAGCACTGACAGAGTCCGCGGCAAGCACATGATTGTTTTCGCTACTTTCATTCGTGACCGGCGAGTGGTCACCGAGTTTCTTGCACTGCTGTCTGTCGAGAAATGTGATGCTGCGTCCCTTCTTGCAGTGCTCCTAGCTCATCTGGAGAGCATCGGACTAGACCTGAACAAAGTTGCGGGAATCAGCACTGACGGAGCCGCGGTCATGATGGGCGTCACGGGCGGTTTGGTCGCGCGACTTCGTCTTCGCCTGCCTCATCTCGTCTCCTTTCATTGCATCGCCCATCGGTAAGTTCCTTGCGCATTTCATTGTTTCATTGTCCCTTCATTGTTACATTGTTGATGTTTTGTTTCATTGTTCCTTCATTCTTTCATCGTTGTTTCATTGTTCCTTCATTCTTTCATCGTTGTTTCATTGTTCCGTCATTCTTTCATCGTTGTTTCATTGTTCCTTTCGCATTGCTGATCATGTCTACATTGTTCTGTTTGGTAGGGAAGCCCTAGCTTCAAAGGACGCTGCTAGTGCCGCACCGGAGCTTGGCATCGTCGACCTCATCCTGAGGACCGTCGCAGAGCTACTGGGGAGGTCGCACAACTGGCACATGCTGTTCAAGGAGCTGCAGGCGATCTTCTCAATGACGAACCTAGAGCTTCAAGGCATCCACCTTGTTAGGTGGCTCAGCCGTGGCATGGCTGTGCTTAGGCTTGTCGAAGTGCTGCCCGCTGTGATTGTTCTCCTCCTGGAATACGACACGGAGATGTATCACGTGGTTACATCGCTCAAATTTCACGTGTACTTGTTCTTCCTAGCAGATATTTTGGAGGAGCTGAACAACCTCAACTTGGCATTCCAGACTCGAGAGGTAGGCCACTGCAATGTACGTATGCGTTAAAGTTTTTGGAAATACTACTCACTACTCCCCTGTTTTTTTCGTACCTTCCTCCCTTCCACTCAGGTGGACCTCACGGTAGTGGATCTCTGGTCAGACGCACCTGCGTCTACATCCGTCAGCGCTACATCACCTGTGGCGAGCGTTTTGGGGGTGACGGGAGCAAGCGCCTGGCCACATTTCTCTTGCGACATGGGTCGACCAACAGTCGCAAGGTGACCGTGGAGGGAGTTGACAAGGAAGGCTGGCCGCGAGTGCACCATTTCAAGTTGCACGAGAAGGAGCTTCCGGGATACAGCGAGATCCCGGGGGATTTGGAGTCCTGCTTTGACCCTTGCAGAGTGTTCGCGAAGGCAGCAGTCGACAACTTGGGGCAGAGACTCGGCGACCTCGACAACTTGAACGGAGTGAGGCTGTGGATGCCTGATACTTGGCCCGGAACACAAAGGCGCGAGATGAGCTGTGCGCGGTGCACTTGGAGTCGGTCATTGGCATGTTCCATGCGGGTGACAAAAGAGAAGTGCTGCCAGGTATGCCTCACATACCGGTAGCTGCCGGGCTTTGAGCTTGCTGCCAGGCTTTGTGCTTTCTGCCAAGCTTGCTGTTGGGCTTTGTGCTTGCTGCCGGGCTTTGTGCTTGCTGACATGCTTGCAGCCGGGCTTTGTGCTTGCTGCCAGGCTTGCTGCCAGGCTTTGTGCTTGCTGCCAGGTTGTGGAAGCCTGATACTCGTATCTTTCACTTCTTTTCTTGTGCTGTGTGTGTGGCAGGAGTGGACAAGAGAGCAGCAAGGAAAGAGCTGAAGACCTTGGTGCCCGTGCTTCAAGGGCTCCACGTGGAGAGCGCAGCTTTCATGATGGCTTGGCGGCCATGCTGCAGACTAGTGACTGGCCCAAGAGCTACCCCAACTTGGTTCGCCTGTGGGTGGCTGTCGCTGTTCTCCCCATCAGCACTGTCGAATGTGAGCGAGGTTTCAGCAGGCAAAATGTGATCAAAAGTTGGCAACGAACCAGTCTCTGCAACGGCAAGCTGTCAGATCTCATGTGCATGAGCATGCTAGACTATGACATGGATTGGGGCGCGGTTGTTGACCTGTGGCGCAAAACCAAGAAGCGCCGTCCCAGCAAGAAGAAAGAGCAGTCCCGTGTCCGCCCAAGGAGCGACAAGGGCAAGGAGAAGCAAGGGCATGCATCAGACAACGAGAGAGAGGAGGATGGTGGTGAGCCAGAGGATGATGATGGTGACAGTAGCTGTGGGTTTAGCTCTGATGATGAAGGAAATTTCTAATTTGATGTGTCTAAACCGTAATGAATGATGTACTACTCTGCCATACTGTGCGTGCATATGTTTTATAAACATTGTGAGGTTGGTTGTAACGAAAAAGCTGCACTTCAAAAAGTGCCCTGTCAGCTCAGGGTCCTGTCTTGGAAATGCCCTGTATGAACAGGGTGTGCATAGCGCTCAAACCCTGAGGGGTGCACGCTTTTCAGAGGGTGAACCCTGAGGGCTCAGGGTGCCTGAATTTGAATATGAGGGCCTGCCTACCCCCCATATTCCTATCCCCCAGATACGTATCCCCCATATCCCTGTCCCCCCTAACCCTATCCCATATACCCTCTCCCTCATACCCCAATCCCCTCAATCCCTATCCGCTCCAACACTATCCCCCATATTCTTCTCCCATATACCCCTCTCCCCCATAAATCCCAATCCCCTCTATTCATATTCCCCATATCGCTCTCCCTCATATCCCTTTTCCCCATATCCATATGACCCCTATCCCTATTCCCCGTATCTCTTTCCCTTATTTTCCTTTCCCCCAGATCCCCATCCCCCCTTTTCCTATCCCCCAAATCCCCTTGGCTCCTACACTAGACACATCGGTGGGACCTAAACCACTAGGCCCCAAGACCCCCGATCCTCCAGAGAAACCACAATGGCCCCAGGGCAGTGACCGTTCCGGGGCCGCACCTCCAGAGCCCCCACCGCACCCAACACTGCTGCCGCCGCTACCGCCGCTTGTGCTGCCGGCGCTGCCTGCCACTGCCGCAGTTGCCAATCCCTATCAATTATATCCCTATCCCCCAAATCCTTGTTCCCTCTATCCTTATCCCCTATATCCCTATCCCCCCAATCCCTATCCCCCAAATCCATATCCCCTATACATCTATCCCCTTTATCCTTATCCCCCATATCAATAGCCCCTCAATCCCTGCCCCCCATATCACAATGCTTTCTTTTCCTGCCCCCCTTATCCTTGTCCGCCATGTGCCATATTTTCTAGCGTCTCATGGATGATGTTTGGGTAATTAATACAACAGCCAGCATACCTACATAGGATATAGTACAATACATATATATACTCTATTCCTTGCACATACAATCTTTTATTATCCATCACATAGATGTATGGTAATGCTTATTGTAACGGCGTAAAGTTGATCCTTGTGTAAAACAAGTCAGCGCGTACACCTTTTCACAGATCTCAGTGCCGACGCTCGCGAATAACCAGCTGTGACGTGATTCAGCATCGGTTCGGGACAGGGGAAACAGCTGGTGGTTAGCCACCCCCCTCCACCTTCCTCCTGCCATAAAGCCCAAGCAGCTCCTCAGATCGCTAACTTTTCTGTTCTCCTGGGTTCTGTGACTGCCGGATCGAGATGGGCTGTTTTAGTGGCGCCTCAATTGAGCGGGCTTGCGAGTGTGGTGTTCCTGTCGCAGCCAGCTCCAGACGTTCACTACGGTGACGCCCTGCTCCCGGACGATGGGGGTTTTCCTGCGGCGTTCTAGTCATGAGGGCGTAATCATGCGTGGAACGCACGTGCGACCGCGATGTTGTGCGTGAGGCTGATGCGATCGTCAGCACAGGCGAAGCATCACCCACCGATACCGCGAGGGTTTCAGATGTGAGTATCTCTCTTCCTCTCAGTGATACGCACAGCTGTGTCTCGGGGATTTCTCGTGCGGTGAATCCTTCGCCTCCCGCGCGACGACACCTTCCGCCGTTTCCGATGGCCCCGCGCTGCACTCGCTGCAGTCAGTCGGTGCGCCGCTGACGATGGATTTATTTCTGATGGGAGGCTGATGGTGACTCTTCCTACACGCTCTTCGCAATCAACGTCCTTAGGACTCCTTTTCACGCTCTTTTACTGGCAGTGAGCGTCGTCCTTTTTTCGTTGAGCTCGGTAATGGTGCGGGCTATGGTTTCATTTCTCCGGTGCTGCCGAGTCACGTCCGTGCGATGAATGCTTATCTGTCCTTGTTGAAGTCGGACTGCCCATGGCACTGGCGACTCGAATGCTCCCAACTGATGGACGTGACTCGTGAATGCACTGATTTCGTCTGTTTAGTCTCCGTCTCCGCGTTCGTTCTTTGTGTGCTGGTCACGCGCGGCGTTGCCTATGATGAAGAAAACGCGAGTGGTAGGAGCAGCGGTTGCAGGGGTTGCTGCGAAAGCAGCTGAACCTACCCCTGCGCATGCCGCTGTCTCCAATGCCGCATCCTCCGACTGAGGCAACCTCGTCCCGCTAGCTGCTTCATTCTCAATACTCTTGTTTCGTGCGCTGTCATGCATTTGTTAGATTTTCGTTTTTCTCTGGGCCTTCCCCACGCCGCGTACCAGCCTCTCTTGCTCAAGCTACCAGGCTCCTGTCGCCAAGAGGGTCCTTTTTGTATCTGCGGCCACACCGCACCCCAGTGATAGCTGCATACCCGTTTCGCGCCACGCCCTCCGTGCTGGATGCGAAAGAGCGTTTCACACATTCCCATGCTCGCCATGGCGCCGTTCAGCACCTATTTCTCCGCTCCTCACCCGCTGTCCCCGCTGTCCCTTGTTTTCCTCCTATCCCGTTTCTCTCCCGCCCTTTCAGTCTCCTGTCCCCAGATGCTGCGTGCTGCTGCTCCTCCCGAAGCACCAAAGCTTCGCGCCAATGGGCGTGGTCCGTTGCCTGTGCTGTTGGAAATTCCGACATTTTCAAGCGCTCAAATACCGCAGCCGTATCTTACAGGGCTCGCGCCAAGATTTGTAAATGCAGTGTATAAATATGGCAATACGACTGGGCTCCTTCACTACAAATAGTGCTCTATCAGATACCACATGAACTAAAAGCGGATGGTGGCAAACCATACAGTTCGACTGCTACAGCCCAGGCTGTCACAACACAATAATTTTTTGGAAAAAGAAATTGTATTGTGAGAGTGTGGCGAGGGCCAACGCAGCAAAGGCAGCGACGAAGCGTTACTCACCCTCGTTTGCCTACAAAAGAGGGACCTGAGCAGGGCTCAAATTTTGAAGGGTGTTTCGCCCTGATTACCCTTGCCAGCGCCCTTTTTTTCAGGAGTACCCTGATTTTGTAAGGCCAAATTTTCTGACCCTTTCTCAGAAAGTGTAAGGAATATTTTAACCTGTTGTAGCAAGAGTGTTCGTCTTATTACCCTGACCAATCAGGGTGCGCCAAAAAACACCCTGAAACAGATAACTCCCAACCCTCGAAATATGCCAACTGTTGAATCTGCCACGCAGGCAGGCAGCCCCGCCCACCTACACCGAATCCCGCGGCACTTCGCACCAACAGATTTTCGTTTTGGCCGCTCCCTCCCCCAGTGTCTCTGTTCCCTGCCTTCGTCTCTCTCGCTCGTTCCCAGCCTTGTTAGTCTCTCGTTGCTCCCATACTCTCTCGCTGCTCCAGTAGTCTCTCGCTGCTCCCGTAGTCTCTCTCTGCTCCCGTAGTCTCTCTCTGCTCCCGTAGTCTCTCGCTGCTCCCGTAATCTCTCGCTGCTCCCTTAGTCTCTCGCTGCTCCCTTAGTCTCTCGCTGCTCTCTTTCCGTAGTCTCTCGCTGCTCCCTTAGTATCTCGCTGCTCCCTCAAGGCGTATTCCTGAGGTAGCACCAGAAACAGATTCGAATTCAGACTTGCACGGTAAAGTAAGGTGCAAGAGTGAAATGAGGTTTGGTTCGGTTCGGATTTGCGCGGCTTTGATTCTGATTTTGTTTCTGATGCTAACTCATGAATACGCCCTTAGTCTCACGCTGCGCATGCGAGTTAAAACTAAGGGCGTAAGGGCGTATTCATGAGCGAAATGAGTCGAAACTCACGAATATGCCCTTAGTCTCCCGCTGCTCTGTTAGTCTCTCGCTCCTCCCCCTGCGCATCACCATGTCCTTGCCCCTGCGTTTCCTCCCCTTCAGCACCTCCAGCAGCAGCTTCATCCGCGGAAGGAAGGAACACTGTAGCTGTTGTCAGAAACCCAGTCACTAACCACTGGGTTAAAAGGGCTTGTTGAATAGCGGGTAAGTGCGCCCATAGCCCCCCAGGCTCTGCACCTGTGGCCCTTCCCCGAGGATCTCAAGGGCAACCCCAGCGGGTCACTCAACAGCTGTTACTGCCCTCACCGCTGTTGCTGTATCTCTGCAGTGGTGCAATGCTGACGGAAGTAGCTGAAGTAGGAGAGGCTATTGATTCTT